TGTGTGTGGGGGGGGGTTGGGTTAACAATTGGCTGCTTGTTTTGGTGTCAGAATATTCTTCAAACTTCCAGAACACGGCCACACAGCCCAGAAGACCCACACCAGCCAATTCAGGCAATGTCCGTTTACCCCACCCCAGTCCTGGAGATTTCTGCTTCCCATGCTGACAAATATCTGTCCACATCACATGAGTATATATATTTGTGCACATAGGTATGAATGTATATTCACTTCCAAGAAGCTAGACTCCAAAAAAGGGCAGGTCCAGGACAAAAAAAAGCAAATTAAATCAACAAGTAGTGATTAAAATCAAATGTCTGTAAAATAAGACACATCACCACTCCCACAAAGAAACACATAAATATGAAAACAGATACACATCCACACACCCACACGCTTTCCTCCTTTCTTCCAGCAGAAAGAGTAAAAAAAGAAGAAAAGGCGGAGATGGAGATGAGGTTACAAAGGAGCAATTGCACTGGGAAGGAAAAAAGAAAAGTAGAACAAAACTGAAGACGAGGCAAGGGGAAGACGTAATTGAACAGGGAAAGAAAGAGTCTGGTTTACATGTTACCAAAAAGGGTTAAGCCAACCAATGGCTAATCCTCAAAACATTCAGAGTTTTTCTGCAGCCATATCTACATCCATTTGTACCTCTCACCCCTCCTTCATGGGTAATTGCTTTTAGGGAAAACTTCCTCTTCCTGTCTAGTAAATACAGTAGATATTTGCCTCATCAACTTATAAACCATTAGGTTTATATATACGGCAGGGGATAATCTTAAGAAATCATATCAGAATAGAAGTAAGGGAAATGATATGCATTTAATGGAAATGACTTTGAGGAATTCACTTATTTTAATTTAATTAATTAGCTTATTTATTGTATCATTGGTACAATAAATCTCTAAGAATACATACATTACAGTGGTCAAATTTGGAAGAGTTAAACAGTTTATTTTAAGTGAAAACAGCTAATGTAACAATATTCAACATTTGAGATCTGTGTTCCTCTAGGCAGCTGTGAAGGTTGATGCTTGACAACAGAAAGCAACATAACTGAATACCTACTTACACTGAATGAGTTTCAGTTTTCAGAAATTTAAGGGCTACAAGGATGATCAGGGAACTAGAAATTAAATTTTATGAAGAGAGTTTGTAAGATGAGAAGACTGAGGGGTACCTGGTAGTCACACAGAAAACCAAAACCTGTTCTCTAGTACATGGGAGTGCAAGACATAGAAAAAAGGATTCAAATTACACACTGGAACTGATAGCCCAAATGATCCCCTTCCACATACCTGATTCTGTCATTCTAAAATAACTTATTATGGTATGATTGGACAGATTAGGATAAATTGCTGCCTTAGAACTATGGAACAGCATGTTCTCTAAGTTTACTGAAATTCACTTTTTAAAAATTGAAGATATGTGCTTGGCTACACTCAGTTTCAGATTTCCTCAAAATCAGCAACTCTTACATTACATGATTACTTTCCTCAATGTTGCTGCTACTTAGTCTTCTCTGTTTGTTAATATCAAGTGACTAGTAGCTAATCCTCTTGTGCCTACCTCTAAATACTGAAGGAGAAAACTATTAGAAACACAAGTTAGGAATGTCCTGAAATGCTTAGCAGATTTTTTTTAGAAGAGAAGTTGGTATATGGTCTCCCATCACTACTGTTTCATGTCTCTCTGAAAGATCAGTAATGTGCTTTCGAAGAGAATCACCACATCTTCTTGGTGTGGCAAATGATAGTTGACAATTGCAGTTTGGCTTTATTTCTTCATTTATTTCAGTCTAGATCCTCTCAGCTTAACAAATATTTATATATAATGTCAAAGATTCAGTTACTTCTCATGGTATCTTAAGTCCCATTTTAAAAGCCAATACTTTTTTTTCCCCCAAATGCATTAAGCCTTCACTTAAATCTTACTTAAATCAAAAGATAAATTTAATTTAGCTAGATTTTTTAATATGGTACTTCACCAAACTTTGACAGCACAATCTTTACATATCAACTTAGAAAAAAATACCACAAACTCATTTGGGACATATTAACTGATAATGGATAGAAAGCTCCAGCTTTACTTTATTGAAGCAGTTCCTAAAGCAAATTTTCAGATATTCTGTAAAAGAAGATGTGGAAAAGATGATGCCTTTTTCACCCATGTTGAGGGAAAAGATCTGTACGGAAACTACAGTCATATGGAGCATTGCAAATGAATTCAGGTGAAATGTGCTATGGTTTATTTCAAGATCTTCCCCATAACTCTAGACTGGCTGAATGGATCAGACCGCAGAGTGCACCTACCTGTTCAAATGTTTTTCAAAATGGCTTTAGACAGTAGAGTTTGCATTTTTGGATTTTAAACGTTATCTAATATTGTTGTCAATATGAAAAACACAAAATTATACTAATAGCATACAAGAATGATATCTAGCTTTTCATTTTACAAGTAATATTTTATGTCTTTTTTTTCTTTTTTGTTCAATAGAAACTTTGTCTCTATTTGTTCTTGTTCCTTTAGGGACACAGGGTTGGTCACAGTGCAATAAGAAGCTTCAGAGAGCTTAAAACATGTGAATATAATTCCTTTTAATCCTTAAGACGTACACAAAAGTGTTCTTTCTTTTGCTAGTTTCTTTTAATTCTATTCGCATTACCCTATTGTCACATCACTAAGAGAACAAAAAGCCCATGGTTTGATTACTAAAATAAAAGTTTAATCAAACATTTCAATTTTACTTGAACAGTTTTCGTCAGAGCAGTGAAAGATTTTATGCTTTTTTTTCAGACCTCTGAATTGTCTGGTTGAAAAAGCAGCACTGGCCATTACTGTTCACAATCCACCAGTATGAAAAATAACTACAGGGGGATTGAATCAGTTGTAGGAGATTCCACATCAAATATTAGAATATTCTCAGGTTTATTGGAATACAGGTAAGCTTAATAATTGAAAACCTTCATAATTTAGATCCAAGGACATGCTATACCCATTTCTCACTTTATATATAGTTTTCTAACAACATTTTTGATTGTGAGAGACCATATTTTGGATTTATTAGATAATATTAGTTTGGAAGCAGAGTATTTCATTAACATATAACTCAACATCAATAAGTAATAATATGAACACATATATATATATATATATATATACACATACACACACACACACACACACACACACATATATACATACAAACAAATAGATGGAACTCCAATGCAGTGTTTCTCACACCTCCTGGAATTCTGGACCACTAAATAAACCTCAGAAAATGCACGGACAATCCAATCAAATAAACATTCCCTTCCCCATAAATTTGTCTTTAAAAACATGGAACTTCACATTTTTCAATGTACACTATAAGATGATAATCATAGTTTCATTTCTGTGTGTCTTCCTGTTCTCTACATTTTTAAAGCAAAAGTTATGTAATTTCACATGTGAATCATTTTATGTACCTCACCATAATAACAGGAACTTTTAGCACAAACTTGCTGGTCAAGAATGATCTTCAGTAGAAATCTGAGTGCAAAGTGGCGAGGGACAAGTAGAACTCCAGCACAACTAAATTTCATGTTTAGATACTGATTGTCATATTTCTTATTTATACTTTTATCTAGGAGTTACTTTGCAAGGCTACAGTATATTTGGATCTATTCGCTATTGTCCATTTCTGAATTTTAGTACTCAGATTACTACTTTTATAATCACTGGTCCACTTCAACAAACCAATGTTCAGCCAGATTCACCTTTGCAAATCAGCTAACTGGCACTGACCACAAGAAGGCTGCCAATTTATTGAAAATCATTAATTACCCTATTTCTGATGGGGAGTAGGAATATTGTAGTAACAGAGGGCCAGGCCTATAAAGTTAAAGGTGTTGGAAGGTTTCAGCCCTCCCCCCGCCCTTCACATACTCTAATCCACTTTCTTACCTTGGAGCAACTTCTAGGTATCTTATTGCTGCCAACATCTATCTTAATCTGCCCTAACTGGATTCCTTCCCCTTAAAACTGGCTTGGGAGAGATACAGGGCATCTCATAGCTTGAACACTTATTTGCCAGTAACTGGAGTAACAACAATGACAACAATGATAATAATGACAAAAAGTTGAATTCTGTAGTGTCATCTCCTAACCCCTGTAGCTTTGAGATTTGTAGCCATAGAAGAACACCCCTCCTTATCTGAGGAGCTATAAACAAAAGCAGAAACTATAGTTTAAAAATCAATTTTATTAAAAATAAAAAAAGGAAATTGAAAAAAACTTCCTTAAAACTTATAGGTAATTGCATGCACAAGCCACATATAGGTGGCTTAAATAATTACAGCACAATCACAAATAGCAACTTAAACATCAGTCTCCCAGTAAAATGCTGTGGGAGAATGGACATGGATTCACAATAGGTGGGACCTGAAGCTTAATGCTTAGGATGGAACAAAAATGCAAGAACTGAGTTTGTTTTGCACAAGGGTACAGATTAAAAAGTTACTAGAGATAGTTAGTAGAAACAATCAAGCAGACACAGCCCCGTGAAAATAAAATAAAATCAGTTTTACTCTGTGATTCAGTGGTTATCTAAATAAATGTGGCTACTTTCACATTTCCAATTTACGATTTGCAGGTCTGTAAAGCAAAGGAAAGCTAAAGTAAGATCATAAGCACAGTCACAGTTTCACTTAGTGACTGCTTTGCTTAATGACCGAGTTGCTAGTCCTGACTGTGGATGTTAAATGAGGACTACTTATAGTCCATATAGTTGATATAGAAATAAACTTAATGCAGGGAATAAAGATGGAGGCTGAATTTCTCATGACAGTTATATTGTAAAATTAAAATTGAATTGCTACTGCTATTATTATGCCTTCTGCAATCAGATTTCTTCCAGATGTTTTGAGTCTCCCAGAAATCCCAGCCAGCATATGTGTATGAGAGAGAGAAAGAGAGAGACAGAGAGCATGTGTCACCAAATTTTGAAGTGGATACCATATCAACTAAGAGTTGTGTTTCTGTTAGTGACTCTAGGCATGTGATACCATTCGGGCATCCTTTGGAAAAATGAGTAATTGCATAACATGAAAGCAGAATTTTTAAACTATGGTCTGTGGAGTACTGTCATAAATGGCCTAGTTTGAATATATTCCTGTGGCAAAAACAAAACGTATTGTGGCTTAGCATTACCTGTGAATTTAGGCCAATATATATATTCTAGGATTGGAGAAGAAAAAGGACACTTTTTCTTTCTCTATCAGCCCATCAGAAGCTCTTCTCTGATTGTTAAATAACAGAGCACTGTCAGCCCTAAGCCAGGGTTTAACAGAGAGTTTGGAAATGGGAACTGTGTTTCCTCATTTTTAATTCTCTTCTCAAGATATACTGTAGGAAGTGTATCTGGGACTTGAGAAAGTCCATTCATTTTAAAAAACCATGTATATCCCAGTCTGAAATGCTATTTTATCTATTTTCCCTTTCTCTCTCCATATCTTTTGTTTGGAGAAAGACTTGTTGATTTTCAGATGACACAACTATTCCACATTTCAAATCCTGCCTCCCTGACTTTCTGTTTGTTCCATTATCATAAACCTTTTGAAAACTCATGGGTTTTTAATATGAAATTTGATTTTTTTTAAAAAAAAAAATTATTTCAAGTGTGTGTGCACGTACAAATCTACATCAGTTCTCAAATATATACCCAGTACTCTGTTATTGTGGATGGCCCATTTTGCTTCCAGATTGGTAAATACTTACATATATATGCTGTGGGTGGGAATAATGCTGGTATACATGTTTTGATATTAAATATTCATAGTAACATGACATATTTCTATAAAATGTTTTTCAATATTATTCCTATTTGTGACCATGGGACTTCGGTCTGTTATGATTCTGTTTCTCCGGCTGTATTTGCTATCTTCAACATTTTTCTTGTTCTCTTCTAAATATATTTATCTTTATAATATGAAACATGGAAAGTAAACTCCAAGATACATAGAATTAAAAAGTCCAGGAAAAGGAAAATTGAAAAATTGCATTTTGAGGAGGACAGTTGGAAAATGGACTTAAAGACAAACACCAAATTAGAAGGCACGGTAACAGGAACATTACGCAACCTGTTCAGGGTCTGAAGGAGAGTGCTGGGACAGAATGGTCCACATCACTATCCATTTCATATTTTAGCTAAGCAAACAGTAGGTTATTGCAGGTTTCTCGGACTCCTCAGCGAGGCCTCACACTGTTTCTACTGTGGGACTGAATCGGCACCTTTTTAGGTACATGCATGATCAATATACTGTTTGCCAAACTGTTAAGCCATTGCCTTACGTGAGTATTTTCCTGTAATCTAAATTCTTTAAATATAATCAAAGCATACTACATGAATACATTAATGTAAATGAGTACCTACCGCATTACCAAGATTTCTTCAGGCCATTCTCTTTCTAAAAGATGCCGGAAATAATCTTCTACAGCCAGAGCAGTTAATGTTTTCTTGAGGTATGGATAGTAGAGGGGGTGGCGCACTATGACACCTGTTAACAAACAAACAGAACACAACTACTTGTTACTCTACATCAGGGATTCCCAACCTGGGGTGCCTGCACCCCCAGGGGATGCGAGATGGAATTTCAGGGGGTGCAACAATTTTATACACTGAGTTAAAAGCTTTTTTTTTTAAGTTCCATTTGTTCACCCGCATTAGAAATTAGACTTCTTCATCTTCAGATGTGATATTACCTTTGTAGGGGGTGCAAACAATCAAATATTTCCTAGGGGCATGGCACATAGAAAAGGTTGGGAACCACTGTTCTACATGGACCATCAAACAATCATGCTATTATCTTTTTTTAAAAATCATTCAGCCCACATTATTTTAAACTCCAGCTACTTAAGACTAAACCTACTTACCTTTGTAGTATCAACCAATCTTTTCTGCCTCAATTTTATAGTATTTGTTCAATGTATAATCTGCCTCAATTGTCCAAGTGAATATTGGTGATATACAACATGTTAAAACAATAAAACCAGTAGAAAACTAACAAACAAAAAATTCAACCCAAAATATATTACTAATGTTTAAAAATGTTAAAATATAGCCCTACATCTTCTATAACTTCTTAGTTTTGAAAAGTTATTTTATTTATTTAAAATAAAATATTTTGCCAAGCACTTTTAGAACCAATTAAAGCAAGAAACAATAATATACCAACACCATATGTTTAAAAAACCACATTCTTTCTTCTTTCCAGACAAACAGAGATGCATTGAAAGAGCTCAGAAGGATTATGCTGAATTAGTAAACAAACTTAAAAGAAGTTTTGACTTGTGCTGAAAATAAGGATACATATAATTTCAATAGCCAGTGCCATGTTTTTTTCTGGTAAGAAAGAGCAGTTTCCCTCCACTTTTGCTCCAGTAATCACTCATATACTAGCACAGATCCAGGTGGATTTGGGATTATTGAAGCATATTTATTGGGTTAAAATTTTAGACTAATCGTTTTTTCTTTTTAAAATGCAGCTCAAAGGAGGAAGATCCGGTTTGTCCTAGTCACAACCAAACTAGCTGAACTTTGCTGATAATAAAAGCTGAAGGTTAGCTTAATTATATCAGAAAGTTCTACAGTACACAGATGAGTGAATTCATAGCAAATTTTATTACATATGGTATGTGATATGATTTATCACATATAAGTCTGTTAGGTAGGTCTATATGTATTCTAATACCCTCATTTAAAACAAATTTGCCAAACACAAAGGAAAATTCTATCATTTTAATTGTATGAAATAACTGAACACATCTAAGTACCTCAAATATAGCCATCTTGTGAGAAAAAGCAAACTAATTTTCTAATTAAACTATGAAATAGCTTGTCTTGACATACTTCAGAATTCTTTGATTCTTGCTATTCTAATCCTATGGATTATCTTGCCTCAATCTAGATAGCCTCCAGATAGGTGGCTAACTCTCAAAATTCTCAGAGATGACCATGCTGGCAGGGAATTCTGGAAGTAAATGCCTGCGTATTTCTTGGATGTTCAGGTTGAACATGGATGATTAAGGATCAATTTAAAGCTGGTATTACAATCTAAGAATAATGTATCTTAGCAATTAAAGTATCACTACTGGTAGTCCTCACTTAGTGACCACTTGTTCGGCAACCGTTCAAAGTTACGATGGTGCTGAATTAGTGGTACTTAAAACTGATCCTCAAGTTCCAGCCATCGCAGCATCCCAGTGGTCACATGATCGTGATTTGGGCACTTGGCAATCAGCTCACACTTAAAATGGTTACAGTGACCCATGGTCACATGATTGTAATTTGTGACCTTCCTGGCCAGCTTCCCAGAAGCAAAGTCAACGGGAAGCCAGCAGGGAAGGTTTCAAATCACTTCTGCTACTTTTTCCCCCAAGAAGCCCCACTATGGAGTACCAAAGATCTTGTACTCCGTAACCCCCCACCCACACTTTGTGGTGTGCACTCACCCACAGCACTCCCCTACCCACGGCCCCTGCCAACCTGCCCACACTCCATAATGCCCACCTGCAGCCTTTGCCAGCCTACCTGTGGCCCCCACCAGCCTGCCTGCATTCCGTAGCACCTGCCCATGGCAATTCCCCCCCCCCCGCAGAACCTGCACACTTTCCCACATTCCCTGCCTGGGACTCCCACCTCTTCCTGCTTAACGACCCATGTGGTCTTGGGGTTACAATGGCAACTGGAACCGCCGGGATTGCTGTCACTAAGTGATGCAGTCACATGACGTTGCGCTTTATGACGCTTAGCGAAGGCAATCCCAGTCCCAACTGCTGTCATAATCTGAGGATTACCTGCATTAAGAAGTGAACCAAGACACGATGGTTTATCTTATGCACTTTCAAATCTTCCTGATGCTGAGGGCTACTGGTACTAGGATGCGTGTACAGGTCAATACTCAACTGAAAGTTAGTTGTCAACAGACCTTCTGTGTCACAAATCTACAAACATATCAGCTATGCTGGGAAATGACACTTCTGCTATGAAAAGAGTTAATTGTTGCTGCACATGTCTTCTGATTAGCTCTGCTGTCTTCTGAGTTCGTTAAAAGATAATACAAACCACGATTTTAAAAACATAGGAAAATGTTTACAAAAGTCATACGCATGCCTACTCTGTCTGACCTGGTGGTCCCTTCCTATGTCCCTGATCTGAGACAAACTATACTTTATCATGTCCTCTGAAGATAAAACCATGGATTCTAATTTGATTTTACAGGTAATAACTAGCTGCTTTTTGACAATCTGGATGCAATTTGCAAATTATTACTTGCCTCAAATGAGGAAAAGATGATTTTTGAATATAAGCAACAAAGGGCAGAAGCTCATTGAAATAGCATCACATTACCTGAACCAGGTTAATTTTAGTTGTTTGGATCCACAAAACAAACAATATGTATTACTTTCTCACAAACAACCTAGAAATTAGTTACTAATATTTTAAGGTGTTGAAAATCTTGAATACTTTTTATTAATCCAATGGTTAAATGGATTATATTAATTTATATTTTCAAATAGTGGGCAAGCTTTTCAATCCTGGTGTTAGGGGCAGATGTGTATACAGATATATATGAGTGCAAACACTCTCTTAGAGTGGAAAGGCAGCCTTCTCTTTACCCTAGAAGAGAAAGACCCAACAATGGGAACATGGAAAAATAGGAAGAGTTAAAATCTCCCACACAGCGGTAATGTCAGCTATATAAAGACTAAAATGCAAACAAATATAAAGCATTTTACAAACAATTTTATTAATTTCCACAGAAAATAAATTTTGAATTGTTGACTAAGATTTTATGGTTGAAGAATCATGTAAACATTTCATTTTCTGCAATTCATTGTTACGGATTATTGTATGTATATTCAGTGAAAGAGACCAAAGCAATATACAAACAGAACAGCTATCTACTAAAAACAATCGAATGAAACAATAATAAAAACACATTCTATAACAACAATAAAAAAACATGAATTTGAAAGTACAGTATAAAAAACAGCCTGGTCTTAGAGCAGTTGTTGCCCTGGATGACCCGGTATGAACTTTAACTGTCATTTAAAATAAGACAGCATAGAGGCCAGCTATAGTTCTTGGAAGACAGTTTCATAATGGGACACTGCCACCAAGGAGGTCCTATTCCTAGGTACTGAAGAAGGCAGTGACAAACTAATTCCATACAGTTGCCAAGAACACTGCATGACATTATCCACAAAATTACCATGAGTTAAGCTTGACTCAGAGAGATGAGTAGCGTTTTATGAGTAGTGAGTAGTGTTGAGTGAGGCAATTTTTTAACTACTTTGAGACTTAATGTTTCCAATTATCCTTTGAATTTAAAAAATTTAAAACAGAGAAATAAAAAGTGAGATCAAGGGGACAAACCAAAAGCTAACCATTAATCCTTTTATTATGAAAAATAACAGAAAGATGAAGTGATACATTTTTAAAAATGTTTTCTCATTTTCTTACATCCCTTTGGAGTCACAGTTATAACCGCAGAAGGTTAGAACAGTTATGGCATAACACTTCTGTGTATTTTTTTTTTAATTTGAAGTTCTCTTTTAAAATAGGATTGACAAATACCTATATTTGCTGTGTTGCCTTTGTCTCCACTTCTTGTGTAAGCAAGATCTTCCAGACGATACGCATGTGGACCACTTGGTAGATCTATATAAAATGAAACAGATTACTGCTTCCTCATCTGCAACAGTAAAGTTGGGATTTTAGAAAAATTATATTTCAGTATGTTCATCCCTCATACATACATTTTCAGTTTTGCAGGAAATGTTTTCCTTTCAGATTCACCTTAAATATTCTACAGAAGCAGAGGCAAGAAGCATGGATAATTTATGCTTCCTACTCCCATTTTTCCAGTTCTGGTCTGTATGGGAAAATGTGCACAGAAGGTATACTTTCTCTAACTGTATGACACTTCTGGGGATTCATTGTTCATGGGAGTTCCAATCCAGTCCATTAGCTTCTTCCCCAGTCCCCACGTTATCTTCCCAGGCATGAAAAACTCTATTTTCAATCAACAGTCCAGAACAGCTCATCAAAAGAATAAGCTCAAAAGAATGCTCAGACAGTAGTAGCTTTTAAGATGGAATCTGAGTTAATATCTTTTTCTTCCTACAGCTCAGGAAGCGTAATCTTCTATGTGCTCCTGTTTTCTAGCCACTAGAAGCAAAGCTACAAAGCTACTTCATTCACTGAAGTCAATGAGAAGGAAAATACCAAGTTCAGCTACAAATTAGCAAAGCTTTCAGCTCCAGTCCAGTGATGTGCCAGAAGAGTGATAGGGCTTTAGATAATTTGGGATGCACATTCACCCCTTTCTCTGAAGCATATATTTCAGGGCCTGCTGCCAGCAAAATACCACCAGGATACATTTATGCCTACAGAACTTTCCATAGTTGCCAGAAAGATATGTGATTCATTGGCAAACTTCTCTTCCACCAACTGTAAATTGTTGTGAGTCTGATGATTTGGGGGTGTACGACTTTATCAATCAATCAGTAGAGCAACACTTTTCCCGTCATGTCTTATCTGGTCTTAAAACTGCTTCCTTAGCAGTTAACTACTTTTACAGTACAGTATTATAAAGGTAAACTCAGTCCTCCTCCAGGTTTCAGATGATTTAAGATTACAATGTGGTGGAAAGGTGAACTAATGCAGTCTTCTAATTTACGTCTTCTTAATATGAAAAAAAAAAGTTTCAAAAAGCTAATAAGTTCAATTGGAGACCTTTGGGACATTAATCTAGCTCTTAAAATAAAAGTAAATGTACAATTTCACATATAATTTAAAGGTAAAATGAAAAATATTAGTATATAGCTATATTGATGGAATTTTATTCTTGAATATTTTTTCTAGCCTCAGTAATATATTAGCTATGTATAAACTTTTTTTTTCAGGAATGTTTTTCTCTGCAGCCCCTGGCTGTATTTGGCTCATTTTCAAACTTGATTTTTCTTTAGCCAGCTTCTCCCACCACACCAAATAAGGTCTCTTTCTGTTCTGTTATCAGAGTTATTCTCTTGGTGGACAGAAAGAAAAACAAAGTCCTAAACATCTTTATATAATCTATTTCCAACATTCCATTCTTAGAAAAGTAAAAATGGATAAAATATGTATTGTAGGTGCCTTGATCTCTCAAGAAGAAAGATAGATAATAAAAACATAAATAAACAACAGTACCTTTGAACTCTTCTTGAGTCTGAACCTCATCATGTGATGCAGTTAGATCTGAAGTGAATGAAGTATCTTCCTGAAATGTTTCAACATGTTGTCCATTCATAAATATATTGATCTAGAAAAATGTACATTTTGATTTAAACTCAAAGATACACCTTACTGTAATGCCATACATATAAAAATCTACGATGGTAGGAGTCAAATGCAATGTGTAAATCTGTACAGTCACCCAATGAACATCTGACTTACACTCTTTCCTGTGAAAAGTGTTGAGACAAACCTTCCATACCGAGCACTGGGTGACTGGGCTTGTGCTTAAAGAAAGCGCATAAAGCAAACATTCCAGTTGCTGCACTTAAAAGCAAACCATATTAAGGTCTTTGCCACCTTCTTTTAAAAAAGCCAGCTATCAGGATGTTTTATTAGCGAATGGGTGCTGAAATAGCTATGAAGAGAAGTTCAAAACGAAAGTCTAACTTGGAGAGTAAGAAACTTACAACTCTTCTTTATGTGCACCCAGTAATCCAGTTAATTGGGTTACAGCTAAATGACATAAGACAATATTATCCTTATTTAGCAGACGTTAAAATACTTTGTTCAAAAAAAATATTGGTGGAATTGGTTTTTTATTTTCCTTAAAATATAAAAAATTAATTACATGCATTCTAAAAGCATTTTTTACATCTGTAGCTAAGAACAACACACATTCTGTTCTGAAGTTGCATAAGTACATCAAAGCTGAAGAAAAGCCACAATGATCCTTATTAATCCATCATAAAGAACAAAGATGTACTACAAATCAAAAAAACAGAATCGTCATATTATTATACAAGTGCTTGGGGAGAAAATGTTATGCAATAGATTTCATTTTTGTCAGATTGTGAAATATTTATTTATTGTATCACTGAAAGTCAATTTGTATACTGCATTAAGCAAAGGAAATGGTATTGTCTCTACCACTCCCAAACGAACATAGGGTGGGGGAGATCAAAGTAAGAATGCACATGTAATTAAGTTTCATATTAAAATGGAACAAATCATGTAAAGTTTACATTGTTGCAAGACAGAATATTGACTGCATCAGTTTTCTCCACCTCCTAAACCTATTCGTCAGACTGATATTCTCAGGTCAATCATCATTTCCTGTTCCTTCTCCATCTCCACAATTTTCTCTGCTCTTTCTCTCTCTGGAAATGGAGCAAACACCATGCAGGTTTCTAAGGAACAGAGAGCCTAGGCAACTTAGGCTTTCCTCCTACAGTGTTACTTCCCAAATAAAGATTCTCCCTCTCTATTTTTTAGTTTCATGTATCAGACTTGCCACTGTTTCTAGCATTGATGCTAAACAGCAGCTCCTACCTTGACATTCTTCTTTGGATAAAGGAAGAAAAATGGTTTCAGGACTGGAGATCTAGAGAGAAAAAAGATGCGAATTCAGAATAAATGTAAAGAGAAATACCTTTCAGCTGGCTTTTATATAGCCCTCATAGCCCCTTAAATCCAGTTACAGTGCTTGGGCATCAATTTAAATATTGACAGCGTAATATGGTTATTGATGTTGGCCCCCACAATGCTGGCCTTCAGGAAACTATTGAAAATGGAATTGCTTCAGAAAGCCTTTTGTTACTGACAATGCCTAAGATGATCGTAATTGTATGTTATGGTTATTTTTATTTTGTACCATAAACATTTTATTTTTATTTTAAACTACCAAGAGTCTTGGAATTATGGTGTGTAAAAAATCAAATAAATAGATAAATATTGAAACTATGCAGAATTGGTAGTAATCTGCTTTTGAGCAACTCTGTTACACCTGGATAGTACAGTTTATGGTAGTCCTATAATTGAATATACTGACTGGTAAATGTTGGTGAATACTCTCAGTATAGACAGATCTAATACATAAGCCAGAACATTTCTAAGATTGACAATATTTATTTAGATTCTAACTAAGGCAATCAGCTGTATAGCTAGCCAAACAAAGTTAATAATTGCTAACAATTAATTGACTAACAGTCTGTTCCTGTGTTTCTCAACCTTAGCAACTTTAAGACACGTGGACTTCAACTCCCAGAATTCCCCAGCTAGCTAGAATTCCCCAGGAGTTGAAGTTCATGTGTCTTAAAGTTGCTAAGGTTGAGAAACACTGGTGTATTCTAACTGGAGACAAAGAGAAGCAAAGTAGGGGATCTTCTTACCTCAAGCCCTGGTAGTTCATAATATCCAGGGCAGAAAGTGACATTGTGGGGGTTGTCAGGTTTTCAGCCTGCTAGATATTGTTATTTTAAAATTTCACATTTCAAGGAATAGCAGGAAGATAGCTACAATAGTTCCTGGTATACCAAACCAGATTATTCTTTTGAGGGAATGAAGAACAACAAATCTTAGAACCTTAACTTTGCTATTGCTAGTGGCAGTTTTCAAGAGGAGTGAATGAAAAGTAATGCCCCCACCTCCATAACTTTAATTTAAATAGGGAAAATTTAATAAACGGAACAGGAGAATAGTCCTTGAAATGAGCTGTTTTGTTTTCTTTTACTTCTCCACATAATCATTGCCATTTGCTACATAGTTCTGCTGCTGTACAAACTTACTAAAGCTATCCACAAAGTATTCCATACTTTTTTACTTCAACCAGGCTGTCACAGTCCTTTCCACCTCTTCATTTGAGTCAAACAGTGAGATCCAACTACAGTATACAATTCGTTATTGGGTGACTCGTGAGATGTGAAGTCTAGCATTGCCATATTGCAGCAAAACACCCTTCTTGTGTTTCCAAGTCCAGCTTAACGATTGCCTCAACGTTTTGAGCATTACAATGTAACACTCTGAGTTGATGTGGTACAAGGTTCAAAGAAAGCCATGTGAATAACATCATTTATGTCTCATCTGTAGCCATGAGTTTTCCTGCTGAAGCCCAGATTTTAATTTTTTTTTCCCACAGATGAAGCTTTGTGATGATATACCATGGACTTACACTTCATTTCTGGGTTATAATGAAAAGCCCATGTTTTGTGCTGTGAAGAAATTCCTCAGCTTCATTCTCTTGGTGTGACAACATTTGCTGGCAGATATCTCTTGGAGCTTTCATCTGTCAAGAAACCCATCTTGCACAAATCTTCCAATATTGAAGAAAATCAGTAATGTGACTCACACATTCCTGTGAAATACCAAGCCTGTCAGCAATTACCCTTTGAGTGATCCACTGAGTCTTCTTAATCAGATTTATCATCCTTTCTCACGGGAAACTCTTCGGTTGCTGCACAGGTTGTCCAATTTGTTCTCACTCACACAAATCAGCTCTTCCTGGTTCACCAGCTTTATATTTTTTGCCCCAGCAATGTACAGTACTCATATTAACATAGTAAACACCATAAACAACCTACATTTGGCAGTCAGTTGGAGGAATTCCTTCAGTGAATTGCTTAAAGCACACTGACAAGTACAAACTGCAGGCATCCATTTCACGAACAACAGCAATACAACCTTTTCTCGCAATAACTTCCCACCAACTAAAGTGAAGGAACAGATGCTGAAGAACGTGTCAGAGCTTCTATCATGTCAGTACTGCCATCTGTTGGCAACTTATAACATTACTTTTCATTTAAGCTTCGTATATTGAAAACAGCTATTGCAGTATCCCTCCCCAGGCAGAATTACAAATCATGGATGCCTTGCATTCATCTTCAACTTCCCCAGCCAGCATCCTGAGGTTTGGAAATCTCTATAAAGAGATGCAAAACATTAGAACATCAGAACAGAGTAGTAATTACTATACTTCTCCTTTAAAATACTTACACTTTGGGACGTCCTCCAATAATTCCAGTGAGTCCAGGTGCTAAAAATGCATGAAATGAAAAAGCAAATGAACATAAAATGCCAAAGACAGTTCACAAAGAATGACTATGTAATGTCCTATGCTCAAGTGGAAATATACTCCAAAGCTATTCCATCCTTTTGTAAAGAGCTAAAATTACATTCTAATTTAATCAAATGTTATGCCATTTAATTAAATGTTAACAATTTAAGAACATCTAGGACAAACGGTAGTAGGAGGGAACTTATTATTTATTCAATAAAAGTAAGAGCAAGGAAACTTTTTAAAAAAAGATAATATATAGGAGTGGAAGTTTGTGAAACCATGAAACTAGTGAAAATTAATGAGAAATTATAGGGGTGTAACTGTATCTTTAAGAAAATACTTATAGTATCTGTGTTATGAAGAGAGGCATGAAAGATATAAACTCAAATGTTGAACTAATATAGGGTTTTTAATGTAAGATTTTTTAAAATAGCATTTTTAAAAAATGAGTGGAATATTTAAAAACTGGAATGTGTATTACATTTTGCTATAAATTTCAGTCTGGAATATATATTCTAATTTTCAAATATCCTTCTATTAGTTTTTCTGTTCTAATAGAAAGAAAGCAATGATAATTGAGACAAACCAACTTTTATCACATCATATGGCCAGAAGTTGGCTACAAATAAAACATATAAAAATGAATATATATTTAGTGGAGCTTAAAAGTTTGTGAACCCTTTTGAATTTTCAAATTTTCTGGATAAATATGACCTAAAACTTGATCTGTTCTCCTCACAAGCCCTAAAACTAGAAGAAGAGAACCCAATTTTAGCCCATTCTTCCTTACAGAACAGCTTCAACTCAGGTATGTTGGTGGGCTTCTTCACTGCCCACTTCAGGTCCTTCCACAACATTTCTCTAGGATTACTGTCAGGATTTAGGCCATTCCAAAACATTAACTTTCTTTTGCTTTAACATTCTTTGGTTGTGCGACTTGTGTGTTTTGGATTGTTGTCTTGCTGCATTACCCACTTTCTCTTGAGCTTCATGAAGTTCATGGACAGATACCCTGACATTTTTCTTGTAGAATTTACTGGTCCACTTCAGAATTCATAGTTTCATCAATGATGCCAAGCCATCCTGGTCCAGAGGCAGCAAAGCAGGCCAAACCATGATACTGCCATCACGTTTCACAGATGGGATAAGGTTCTTATGCTGGAACCTTTTGCCAAACAACACTTTTCATTCAAGCCAAAAAGTTCTATTTTGGTCTCATCCATCCACAGAACATTTTCCAATAGCCTTCTGACTTATCCACGTGGTCTTTTGCAAACCGTAAATGGGCAGCAGTGTTCTTTTTGGAGAGTAGTAGCTTTCATCTTGCAACCCTGCCATGCACACCATTGTTCTGCAGTGTTCTCCTGATGGTGGTCTCATGAACACTGACACTCACCAACACAAGAGAAGTCTTTAGTTCCTTAGACATTACCCTTGGCTTCTTTGAGACTTCCTGGAGTATTACACACCTTAATCTTGGTGTGATCTTGGTTGGCCCACCATCCAGGGGAGTAACAACAGTATTGGATTGCCTCCATTTGTTCATGATCTGCCTGACAGTGGACTAGTGGAGTCCCAGCTCTTTAGAAAGAGTTTTGTAACCTTTTCCAGCCTGGTGAGCATCAACAACTGTTTTTCAGAGGTCCTCAAAAATGTTCTTTGTTCAAGCCATGATACATTTCCACATACTTGTGTTGTGAAGAACAGATTTTGCTAGTGAATACCCAGAATTCTGTTTTTTAAATAAGGCAGGACCCCCCCCCCCACACTCACACCTGATTATCATCCCATTGACAGAAACATCTGACTGTAATTTCCCCTTCAAATGAACTGGTAACCCTAGAGGTTCACATACTTTTGCCACACACAAATATGTAGCTTTGGATCATTTTTCTCTACGAATAAATGAACAAGTATAATGTTTTTGACTCATTTGTTTAACTGGGTTCTCTTTATCTAATTTTAGGATTTGTGTGGAGAACAGATCACATTTTAGGTCATATTTATGCAGAAATACTGAAAATTCAAAAGGTTCACAAATTTTTAAGCACCACTGTATGTGTGTGTGTGTGGCTGGCTGGCTGGCTGGCTGGCTGGCTGAAGAAATCAATTTAGAAGCATATGGCTGAAGGCTTCTACCAAGCCATCTCCACAAGGACACGTGCTGGTGGAAGGGGATGCTTTTGTAATGCCCCAGAGCAAAAGCCCAACAACATTTCAAAATTGCTGGCATATACCCATTTGAAATGACCCCAAGAACTATGAAGCTGGCAACTAGACTGATATTTATTTGAAGAGCTATGTGTCCCAGGTAAACTGCCTGAGGATACTTCATTTTCAAAGCTCTCCAGTTCTAGGGAGTGAAGTTTGCCAACATTTTTAGACAGGTTCACTTAAAGTAGTTTCTAAGTGCACTGGGGCGGACCTACGGGCGGGGGGGAGGGCTTTAACCAAGGATTTAAAAGATAGTACCAAACTCTAGCATCCTGAGAGACCAAGCCAGTCTCTAAATATATAACAGCATTCTTAATACATCTTGGAACTGCAAGGATAGCTCTAATACATTTAGACCAAACAGCTTCAAGGTACAGATCTAGACACTGCAGAGAAGCTGAGAAATGGCTTTGGCTATGAAGATCTTTCAATCTGCAAGTATAAAGTGAACCCCTTTCAAATGGAAAAATCTCAAGATAGTGATGTTTATTATAATATATGTGAAAAAATACAGAACCAGAGCAATGACAATATAACATCTTCCCCATCAACTCCTCCCCACAATTCCCAAAAGGCTACTCCTCCCTAATAACTGTTGAAAATCACAGAGGCAAAGCTGGGTTACAGTTATGCTATTCAGCAGTATGAGAGAACTTTTTGGAGGTAGGGAAGGGCATTTCTAGCCACACTTGTTATTCATTTTGCCAGCTTTGTTCTGCCACTTTTTGTAAAAAATGGGATAAAATAAAAACTTTAGGTGACAAACAATAATATTTCCCAGTTCCACAAAACACAAAAGCACTAATAATGGCCAAAAATTGTCTAAGGAGCCTTTATTTAAAAAAATAAAAATAAAAGCAACAATTGATTCCTAGAAATAAGAAGAGGCAATTTGAGCAAGGGAATACTAGGAACTACCACTTCCTCTAATTTCCAGCACATATATTACAGGGTATTCCAATGTGCCAGGAAAAGTTAAGAGACTGATAGAGATGAGGGAGAGACTGGCCAATGAGCAGGAAATGCCTTTTTGATTTAGGGATGTGAGTAGCGAGAATTACTTGATTACAAAAAAACAGAGGATGGTAATTAGAACTAAGGCCCAGATAATGGATTAAGAGGCCCAAAAGATAAAAGCCTATGTTGGAAAATATTCTTTGTTTCTTGACAAAGCTCCAGCCATTGACGTTACTACAATCTGAATTTTTAGATGACAAGCATTTAAAATCAAATGTTCTACATTCATTACAATATTGTGCCTTATATACAAAACACTTTACTTGCAGAGGTCAGTTATAATTGCTTTAGCTATTTCCGCCCAACTGAGAGATAAGAAATCTTTTAGGATTATGTACTCAAACATGAATGAGGACTGATCTGTCTATTAAACTTAGGACATTTGTTGGAGAAACATCCAACACACTTGTCACCATTCATAATATTTACATGTACTCAGGACTTTAACATCTCAAACTGACTTAACCAGCTGTCATCATAGTGTCAACCTCCGGTCAATTAGATGTCAAATAGGGGTTAGCACATTAGTTTTGCTTTAGAAATAACTACTGAATAGAATAGTTATTAAAATATTCTTTGTTTATGGTGTTGAAATTTTATTTTCAATATGAAAAAAGAAATAACAAGTATTAATTAATAATAGGAGGAAATGGAACTTTTTTAGTCAATTTAATATACAGTATTTAGTCATTCCTAGTGGATTACAAATATAGAAAACTAGAAAAGATGCTTAAGGTATGTCAAATAAATAACCACTGTGGAATTCCTTGAGGCACAGAAGCAGCTGATTATTACAATGTTATGTTTCTTGATAAAAATATTAATTCAGAACTTTATTTAAATTAAAATGTGAAGACTTATATTCTGTGTTGTCTCTAAAGAGATATTCAATGAAATATAATTTCATGAATAAGATATGGCAAGTATGACAAAAAACTAGACGGGAACAAAAAAAAAAATGAACCCACACAACCCAAAGGGGGCTTCACTCACCCTTGCCAAAGGCCTGAGCAAAGAGCCAGGTCTTCAACACCACCAAGGTGGGGGTGGACTAGATTCCAGAAGAACCTTATTCCAGAAGACAGGTGCTGCTACAAAGAAGGCTTCTGGTGTCCCAATACATGGCACTGTTTAATCAAAGGAACCATGGAGGCCCCCAAACTCCTGAGCTTCCCTGGAGTCAATGTTGCCTAGTGACAAATTAAAATCCCCAAGGACTAATAGCCAGGACCATGACATTATCTTAGGCTGAGATATCTAGGAAGAGTTTTGCACATGCATATTAACTTGTTAACCCTTTATTTCCTAATAAGTGAAAGTCCTTTACATTGACCAATTTTAATTGAAATATTCTGTTAACTTGATTCTTCTAGATCAGATGAGGGGTAGATGGCAGCGCATATTTGTACTTTATACTACAGAAATATTTACTGTTATTTAATTAGTCCTATTCTAATGAATAAATAAGCCAGAATTTGGTCTTTTACCAGACCAAATTGCAGCAATCTCTGAAAAAAAATTGCCAAATTTTGGTATTTTTATTCTAGTTTGCCAAAAAAGTGATTGAATTAACCCAATTAGCTTGCTAGCTAATTTTGTGATCTGTACCTACTGTTGTTTACAACATAGTTTGTTGATCTGAAGTAGGTAGTTTCCGTATTTTTTAATGTCTGTTGTTTTATCTCATATGCTGGCCTATGGCAATATTAATAAAATACAATCTAAGTTTCTCGTGTGCTTTTTAC